GTTCATGGGGAACCGTATGAAGGCCCCAATTGAAGGCATAGGGACTTATCGTATTGTTTTAGATTCCGGGCACCACCTGGATCTTTTGCAAACTCTCTATGTACCTTAATCTTCTAGAAACTTAATGTCTCTTTCTAGACTTGATGTTCTTGGGTTTTCCTTTAAGTTTAGACATGGATGTTTCAGTTTATTTGATAAACATGATTCCATTATTGGTTCTGGAATTCTTATGGATGGTTTATATAAATTGAAATTTGATGTTTGATTTTTCTGCATCTTTAATGTGTGTTCATCAAAACATTGGAATTAAACGTGGTGTAGCAAATGAGAACTCTGCTTTCTTGTGGCATAAACGTTTGGGTCATGTATCCAAAGAAAGAATGCAAAGGTTGGTGAAAGATGAGATTCTTTCGAATCTAGATTTTACCGATCTTGGGTTGTGTGTGGATTGCATTAAGGGAAAGCAAACCAAACATAACAAGAAAGGAGCCACAAGAAGCAGTCAGCTTCTTGAAATTATACACACCGATATATGTGGACCTTTTGATGCTCCATCCTTCAATGGAGAAAAGTACTTCATTACCTTTATAGACGATTTTTCACATTATGGTTATGTCTATCTGCTCAAGGAAAAATCTCAAGCTGCAAATGCACTTGAGGTTTTCATTAATGAAGTTGAAAGGCAGTTAGACAGAAAGGTGAAAATAGTAAGGTCTGATAGAGGTGGTGAATACTATGGAAGGTATGATGAATCGGGACAAAATCCCGGTCCATTTGCTAAGTTCCTCGAAAGACATGGCATATGTGCACAGTATACTATGTCAGGCACACCTCAACAAAACGGTGTAGCAGAAAGGCGAAATAGAACATTAATTGATATGGTTAGGAGTATGATAAGTAATACATCATTACCCAAATCTTTGTGGATGTATGCACTTACGACTGCTGTGTATCTGCTGAATAGGGTTCCTAGTAAGTCAGTTCCTAAAACTCTTTTTGAGTTATGGACTGGAAGGAAACATAGTCTGAGACACTTGCATGTTTGGGGTTGTCCAGCAGAAGCACGAGTATACAACCCACATGAAAAGAAATTGGATTCTCGAACTGTGAGTGGTTACTTTATTGGTTACCCAGAGAAGTCCAAAGAGTATATGTTTTACTGTCCTAATCATAGTTTTAGAATCGTTGAAACGGGCAATGCTAGGTTTATTGAAAATGGTGAAGTTAGTGGGAGTGCTAAAGCGACTGTGGAAATTAATGAAATAAGGGTTGATGTTCCATTACCCATTAATGTTCCAATATCCACAGTTGTTCCAAATATTGTTCCACTACCTCAAGAACAAAATAATGGTGGACAAAATTTGGATGAAGTAGTACCCCATGAAGAGACTAACTTCCCACCAACTAACACAAATGAACCACGTGGAATAGCATTAAGCAAACCTACACGGGTGAGAAGTTCTGCTATTTCGGATGATTATGTGGTTTATTTGCAAGAGTTGGATTATGATACTAGCATTGATGAAGATCCTGTTTCGTTTTCACAAGCCATTAACAGTGATGAGTCTCATAAATGGATTGATGCTATGAAAGAAGAGTTAAACTCTATGGCTAAAAACAATGTTTGGGATCTAGTAGAATTGCCAGAAAGTTCAAAACGAGTTGGGTGTAAATGGGTCTTTAAGACCAAACGCGACTCGAGTGGCAATATTGAACGACATAAAGCTAGACTTGTTGCCAAGGGTTATACTCAGAAAGATGGCATTGATTATAAGGAGACTTTTTCACCTGTTTCTAAGAAGGATTCTTTAAGGATCATTATGGCTTTAGTAGCTCAGTATGATTTAGAGTTACATCAAATGGATGTAAAAACAACCTTTCTTAATGGAGACTTAGATGAGGAAGTTTATATGGATCAACCCGAAGGGTTATCCATAGAAGGAAAGGGTCACATGGTGTGTAAACTTAAGAAGTCAATATATGGACTTAAACAAGCTTTCAGACAATGGTATATTAAGTTTAATGATACCATCACGACTTTTGGTTTTCAAGAAAACACTGTTGATCGGTATTTACCAGAAGATCAGTGGGAGTAAGTTTATATTTTTGGTTCTATATGTTGACGATATCCTACTTGCTGCTAATGATTTTGGAATTTTGCATAAGACTAAAGATTTTCTCTCAAAGAATTTTGAAATGAAAGATATGGGAGAGGCATCCTATGTGATTGGAATTTCTATATTCCGAGATAGATCACAAGGAATGTTGGGATTGTCTCAGAAAGCTTATATCGAAAAAATTCTTGAGAGATTTAGTATGAACAATTGTTCACCAAGTGTTGTCCCATTACAGAAAGGGGATAAGTTTAGTCTTATGCAATGCCCTAAGAATGATGTGGAACGAAAGAGTATGGAATCTATTCCATATGCTTCTGTTGTGGGCAGTTTGATGTACTTGCAAACTTGCACGAGGCCTGATATTAGCTTTGCTGTGGGAATGCTTGGCCGATATCAAAGTAATCCTGGATTGGATCACTGGAAAGCTGCAAAGAAAGTGATGAGATACCTTCAAGGGACAAAGGATCATATGCTCACGTTTTAAAAATCTGATCGCCTTGAGGTGATTGGATATTTAGATTCAGATTTTGCTGGGTCCCTTGACAGTCGCAAGTCAACGTTTGGCTATGTGTTTCTCCTCGCCGAAGGAGCAATATCATGGAAAAGTGCCAAACAGTCTGTCATAGCTGCATCTACTATGGAGGCTGAATTTGTAGCTTATTTTGAGGCTACGATTCACCAATTATGGCTGCGGAACTTTATTTCGGGACTTGGGGTTGTCGACACCATTACCAAGCCGCTGAAACTGTATTGTGATAATTCCGCAGCAGTTTTCTTCTCCAAGAACGACAAATATTCCAAAGGTGCAAAACACATGGAATTAAAGTATTTTGCCGTTAAGGAGGAAGTTCAGAAACAAATAGTGTGCATTGAACATATAAGAACGGATCTTATGATTGTCGATCCGTTAACTAAAGGTCTACAACCAAAGACATTTAAAGAACATATACATAGAATGGGTCTTGGTTGTATTGATGATTGATTATGATGATGTTATGGCACACTCTTGAGCTCATTGATGTTATGTTTCTGACCATTATCGAAATTTCTTGTTCATTATGATTTTGTATACATTGTGTTTAGAACAAGAAATGAATGTCTTAATGATAATTAAGTGGACATTATGATATTTATATATATTTATGAAACTTGGTCTGTTAATGTAGTAGTATATGGAAGGAAGTATGCGAATCGAGAGTGTACAACCGCCATAACTCTCACTATATGGTTTATCATGTCATGGTTTATTATGATGTATGGCATAATGAGATTTGTTTATTGTGCACTTAATGTTATACTATTATTTTAAGGGCTTTCGGACCAAGTGGGAGAATGTAAGAATATATGTGGCCCGAAAGCATTGGGCTCACATTTAATCACTACAAGAATAATCATTTTTAGTGACGATAATTTTTGTCGCTATGTCGTCAGAAAAAATATCGTCGCTAATAATATCCTGATATTGTCGCTATATGTTTGAATGTCGTCACAATAATACCTCTTATTGTGACGGTATTTTTTGTGACGACATAACGACAAAAATTATCGTCACTAAAAATGATTATTCTTGTAGTGAATTATCCTATTGGGCTAGGCCTTTATTTAATGGTCAAACAAATCTAAGCCATTAATCTGGATACTTGATGGACGTACCAGATCTAAAGCCACCCCTATATAAATTAGTCCTCTCTCCTCCTATTAGGGTACGCAGTAATTATCCCATCACTTTTTCTGCTACGTTAAGAGAAGGTCAGGAGGGAGAAACTGATTTAGATCTACCGATCGATTTAACCCGTGTGATCATCAAGATCAAGATCACAAATTATATCGTCTTCCGCATCAAGTAAGTGTTTCGTATACACCAAATTATTTATTCAAGATCCTATGATGATGTTTACAATGTTACATGGACAAAGATCATCCAACCATTCGATCTACATAATCGTGCTTCTCAATGCTTAACCTAATGTCTTTTGTTTACTTATTGGAAGTTGGAATTAATACNTCGTCAACTTTGCCATAGAAATACTCTTTTATGGTATTGACCATTTCGTAATGATCTACTTTGTGCATTCAACCCCTCTCTAATTATATCAACCCCTTTAATTACTTAAAGTAAAGGACTATATAAGTCAAATCAGACTTTTCTTTTTCCTGGATAAATCATATATGAGGATATAGATAAAATTGATTTGACAATGTTCATAGTTAAGTAGCTCCAAGAGCTCATAATCTTATTATTAATTAACAAAATATTAGTAGCAGTTTAACATTGAAAATTCTATACTTAAACATAATAAATGGAATTTTATTTTAAATTATCAGATCCTTTTAAAAAGTATTTTTATAATTTTATAAAATAATTAGTTTGATATCCTCTTTTTAAAAAAATTAAAAAATTATTTTACAATATTAGAAGTCTTACTAACTTATATATAAAATCCCCAATTTACAGAAAACTGTTCCAAAATACTGAAATAATATATATATATATATATATAGAAGTATGAAGTACCGAAAAATTGAGATTTAATATTATGAAGTGTAAAAATTAACACTATTAAACTCATATAATTCTCTAGAGAAGAATAACAGTAGATTAAAGTTTTATATCATATTAAAATGTAGTAATGGTGAAAGAAAATAAATAAATTTAAAATTAATCCAAATCATGCGAGTAGGACTGAATAACAACAGCAAGTTGTGTATGTGTCGGTTTAAGTAGTAATATTATTATTATGGGAAGAAAAACACAATTAGGACAACATTATTGGAGCACTAATTCCAAAAGAACAAAATAATGGAGGAGAGTGTGGGGACATCAGATAGGCGGGTCCCACTTGCATATTTATATCTAATAATTTAACCTAATAAAGAATCCAAGATTACTTGATACTTCGCTTGCCAAATTTGCCATGTGAGTACTGAGTACCCCATCAGTTCTTGCTGGCTCTCTCTCATTTCCAGTTAAGACTTGAAAAAAGGGCTTCTAATTAACAATCTCATTCAATAGCCTGAACTTGCAATTTGCACACGGAAGCTCCGTTTTCTCTCATCCACTGAGACGAGTATGGATTCGAAAACTATTCTCGATTACGCTCTGTTTCAACTCACCCCAACAAGAACAAGGTATATTTCTCCCTGTCTCGATGTTCCCGTCTCATATCCTGTGTTTTTATCAGTAAATTTCGTGAATAATTGGTGATATTGACTAAATTCCATCTTTTCCTTTGGTGGGTTGTTGATGAATTTGGTTAAAGGTGCGATCTTGTGGTGTTTTCGGGGAAGAAGAGTGAGAAAGTGGCGTCAGGGCTCGTTGAGCCATTCATAGCCCACTTGAGATATGCGAAAGATAATATACCAAAAGGTGGTTATTCGATTACCCTTCGCCCGCCGGCCAAAGCAGATGACGTGTCATGGTTCAATAAGGCCACATTTCAGAGGTAATTAAAAGAACAAGAAGCAAATGTTGTAGATTTGGTATAAATAACTGTGGTTCAATCTACAATTTTAATTTGTGTTATATTGTTCCAGTGCTAGTTGATCAATTGTTATGGCTCCCAAGTTTGTTTTTTTCCATCTATACTCTTTTTTGCTCTTTCCTTCTTTTTCCTTGTAGTTTTACTTAAAAATATTACATAGCAATCTTTTTGTACATGACTTCTAGTTTAAGACATATTGTAGAAATATTTTAGAGAGTAGATTTTGGGTTAAAGTCTTAAATCTTGTGGAATAGCTTTGGTTTGGGGTGTTAAAAATACGGCTTAAGAGTATCTTTTTATTTATTTTTTTGCTTTTTCTTCGTTTTATGTTTCGTTGTTCGTGGCTGGCAGGTTTGTACGCTTCGTGAGCACACCTGAAATTCTCGAGAGGATTGTACGAATAGAAAGAGAAATCTCGCAGATTGATAGTTCAATTCAATCTAATGAACTTCCAAGGTTGGAGGGGACAGTACATCATGGGGAAGGTACTATGAAGAGCCATCATTTTAGTTTTGAAAATACCACTTATGTTAATATAAATGTGCTTTGGGCTATATCTTACTTAGACAATGTGCTCCAATTTCCCATGGAAAAGAAACTATTCTCTGGCCATGACAAAATATAATCGAAAGAAAATATATATTTCACATTGTGAGATTTTATCACATCCCCATATTTCTCTAATTGGTTGTTATTACTTTCTTTTTTCTTTCTTTTTTTTTCATTATAGATAAGTTCTATTAATGCTTTCTATGTTGATTTGCATATTAAACCTGCTGTGCTTTCAGAAAGCTTGGCTGTTGCCAATGGGAATATAAGAAAGGCAAGTAGTTCTTTAAAGGTATTTTAACTTGCAGTTAAACAGTAGGTAATATTTCTTTTTCTTTAACTAATTCGAGATCTATCATGGCTCTTATATAGTCAACCTCTGAAGAAGAAGATCATGGGGCTGCACCTAGAGAAAATTCAAGGTAACTAACTGTATTTTTCATATTATGTCAAAGAAAATGTTATCATGCTATTTTTCATATTTTGTCATGAGTAGGCTTCGTCTTCAACGTGTCATGGATACTCGTAAAGCTTTACTACAGAAAGAGCAAGCTATGGCTTATGCACGTGCAGTTGTGGCAGGATATGAAATCGAGACAATTGATGATCTTATAAGCTTTGCTGAAACATTCGGCGCCTCACGGTTGAGGTAAATCTTATAATTTTTGTATTTTTTTGGCACATTATTTAACGGTCTTTCTGAGTGCATGCATCCATATAATAACCGAGCTATGTGAAAGCATTATATTTTTTCGGCACCCTTTGGATTTCTGTTTTAGAAAGACATTTTTACGCTGATATCCATTTCCTCTTATTCTTTT